CGCTGGACAGGAGCATTGGAGGGTATTGTTGCGGTTGCGGGCTGGCTCCACCCACGAATTGGTACCGGCCGCGAACCTCGGCCCGAATCCGTCACCCGCGAAAATGGTCAAGGTGAAGCGTCCGAACTTTTTTCTTTTTTTTTTTTTTTTTAATATTTCATCGAAAAATTTCAACATCCTTTTTTTTGTTCCTTCTATTGTAACCTCTGTTTGATATCATTTGATCAATTCGCATCGTCGATTCTAAGATCGTTTATCTTGATAATTTATCACGACTCGTGTCTGGGCGTTTTAATTAATAACCTTCCTTTAATTGTCCTTAATTCGAGCCCATAAAGTAACCAGTTTCTCGAGTCTCTATTTTTCTCCTTGATCAAAATAAACGTGTTGAACTATACGTCGATAAATATTAAATATAAATTATTATTAAATATATTATTAAGTATATTTATTAAATATAATTATTTAATAATAATTATTAAATATGAATTATTAAATATTAAATATAAATATTAAAAATATTTTCAATGTTTAACACGTTGACTGCCACGCGCTGTATCAAGTGCACTCTATCTACCTAGATACTTTAATAATGCGAGTCTGATAGCCGCAAGAATGATGTCTCGCATCATTTATTTCCATCACTGTCTGCAATAAAAGTATTGATAATAATATTGAATAGTAATACTGATTTAATATATTTTGGATATTTTAATTTGGATAATTTGGATAATATGACAATGCCCTTCGATTAGTCGTAACAAATGTACTTCTTAGTTGTGAATTGTATATAAATTATTATTCGCGTGGCATAGTAGGTAATCGTGTCAGAGCACGATGTGTTCCTAAAACTATCTAATTGTCGTATCACCATGAGACTCGTGGTATTCCAAAATTAGAAGATTTAGAGAATTATTAGCTGCAAAATTGGTAGGATTATCTGAAAATACAACAAAACTTTATCAAAACCTTCAACGGAGTCAACATAATATCGTCGTTCGAAAAAATAATTCTAGTATAAGTAAGCAAAAAAATTTAAAAAAGAGAACTTTTTGTCCAAATTGTTAATCTCAGTTTTGTATAAAAATGTTTTAAAATTTTACATTCAAAATAATTTTTTAATAAATTATTTTTTATTATTTTTATAACAATTTAATAGTTTTATTACATTCATAAATAATCAAATAAACGTCAGTCAACATGTTAAACGATGTCGTATTATTTATAAACTTAAATTATTGAATTATTGAATTATTTATAAAAGGCGTTGAGATTCGTGAATTTAATCGATTCGATTCGTTCTATTAATTTTAATAATCAACAAACTTAAATTTCCATAGAAAAGAAAAAAAGATTGAATTTTAATAGCAATCATCCTTACTTATATTCGAATTTATTCTCATTATCCTCGCAATTTCGATCATTTTCTTTCACAGGCCATCAACGAATCGCTGAACGTGAGCACTCTGATGCCCGTTGTCTGTTCCGGTGCCGGCACACTGATAGCCCGATACGACGAGCACGCCTTGGTTTCGAGGTTTAAATTCGGCGTACTTCATCAACGCGCCGGCCAGGTGACCGAAGAGCAACTTTTTGGCAACAGGCAGATCACGCCTGCTTTCCAAGAATTTCTCGACCTGCTCGGGCAAAAGATCGATTTAAGGGATCACAAAGGGTTAGTATATATATATATATATACACGCAAATTTATGGAATTTATTGTGAAAATAATTTTTGCTGAATTTTTTCAACAAAAAATAGATATCGCGGAGGTTTGGACACTAGACACGGGCAAACGGGTGATTCGGCGGTGTACGAGGTATTTCGAGGCCGAGAAGTGTTGTTCCACGTCGCCTCCCTTTTGCCGTACAGTCCAGGGGACTCGCAGCAATTGCAGCGAAAAAGACACATCGGGAACGACATCGTCGCGATAATATTCCAAGAGGAGCCAACCCCTTTCAGTCCAGATATGATCGCGAGCCACTTCTTGCATGCATTCATCGTGGTACAAGTCGTCGACCCCTGCACACCTAATACGAGGTATATTCTTAGATATTCGTATACGTTCGTGTCTGCGTAAGTGAGGTTATGTGTAAAATTCACGCGGATGCGTCAGTTACGAAATCGATAAATTCTTCACGAAATATCAAAATATTTCAATAAAAATTTTACATTTATATTTATATTATTTCATTATATATTATTATTGTATTATATTTATATCTTACATTATTCGTTCGATCGATGGTAAATAATTTTTCTTTTTTTTCTACGTAACATTTTCATTGGCATTTGTACGATATTTATATAGAGATTCGTGTTCTGTAGGTACAAGGTCAGTGTAACGGCACGAAACGACGTTCCACTGTTTGGTCCTGCTTTACCGACTCCGGCTGTATTTTTACGAGGAATCGAATTCAAGGAATTCCTCTTGACGAAATTAGTGAACGCTGAGAATGCGGCGTATAAAGCTGAGAAATTTTCCAAGCTCGAGGTATTATTTAATTATTTGCATTATTACGGTAACTATAAATTATAAAAACATATATATATATATATATATTTAAATATCAATTATTTTTTAAACGCTGAAATAGCTAAGAACGAGGTCAGCTTTATTGGAATCTCTGACGGAAGAATTGCAAGCAAAGACGGCGGAATTTCTCGGTGGAGCAATTGGATTCGGAGGCAGCGGTCTAACTTTCGGTGGGAATTGTCCGGTAAGCCCAACGGGGAACGACGCATCGGGATCCGGTAGCAGTGGAAGTGGATCCAGATTTATCGACACCGTGCGAAAAGCTCTGATATCGCGCGTTAGAAACGCGTCGACGGAAAGCGTGCCCCAACAGTTGTCGAAAAAGGGCCAGTCGGAGTCTAGTCCACCTAGCAATCGACAATCCACCACTAAAATCAATAGCAAACGTTCGGTGGAGCCCTCGAGCCCCTTGGGCTCGCCCGATTTAACCCTTAGAAGAGATTCTGAGCGTGGAAGTCCCAGCTTGGGCAGTCAGGACAGTAGTTTGTCGAACACGGATAATCAAGATAGCAGTTTGGCCACTTTGCAGCAAGACGAGGTTGATCGGAGAGAGTCCACCACATCCATTTGTGCCAGCAACGATAACACGGTGGTGGACAAAATTTCATCCGTTCAAAGACTGACTCACGAAAATTTGCGGAAGCAAGAGAGGTCGGAAAAGGTGGAAACAACTCAACGCGTTATTTCGGAAAGTGACGACAGCTCGTTGAACAGCGAACTTGAACTGGATCAGGTTGTATATCCTGACAGCGACACGGGCCTTGAATCGATGAGCTCGGCCGAAACGCATGATACCACGAGGTGTACCACCAAGGATGGCGTTTTAGAAACCGAAAACTTAAGAATGGAAGTCACGAGGCTTAAATGCGATAAATTAGATTTACTGAGGCAAAATGTGGTATGTTTGTAGGTTATGGTAAATGTTATGTATGCTTTGTTACGATGATTTAAGTATAATATTATTTTACAGACCTGCCAACGTGATATAAAACGTCTGCGAGAAAAGGAACTTCAATTGCAGTCCGATCTCGCAGCAGCATCGAAGGAAATTCTTCGATTGAGAGCTATGCTAAAAGAATGTTCGACGAGTATTCCATTGGACAACAACAATCAACAGACATCTACCGTTTAAAGATGGCTTTGAGATACGTTTAATATGCCTTCATCGGCGCATAACTTCCCGTTGCAATTATTAGATTTTAATAATTAGTTAGGCGCATTAGTTGAAAACTCTATAAAAATCATACTTTTTCGGAATCGATTCTTGTAAAGAAATTTTTCCGAACCAGTTTGCAAAGAGTTTGAAACTTGCAATTCAAATGCTTTATGTTATGTTTTAACACTGTGGTTGAACTTCTTTAGGTAAATTGATATATACGCTGTATATTACAAAAGAACGGGTCAGTGAAGGATATTTAGAGAAAATGTTTTTGCGATATAAATATAGCGATACGTCTTTCGAAATATTTACAACGTAGACGCTAATTGTTACTTGTAGAAATATTTGTTTGATCTTTAACAATATTATTTATCTATTAATTTATTAGTAGTCGTAAGGTAATCTCTAATAGTCAATATAATTACAAATAAATGACACATACAAACACACGCAACACATAAATAAATACAAAATAGGAATGTTTGAAAAAGTAGGTACATCTTGTCATTATAATAGATAGATTAGAATAAAAAGTAACATGGCCTTTAGACTTAGTTTCCAAAATCGAGAATAAATATACAGAAATTAATATAACATATTTTACTTGTAATAATTCAATGTGCATAAATCGAAAGATCGATATATATATATATATATAT